AGGACTTCATCTGCTCTGCTGGTGCTGCTGGTTAGCAATAGATTTTGATGCTGGGAGTGCATTAAAAGTAATGTTCAGCCATAAATGTTGACAACAGAGCAGTAACAGAGCTTTGTAAAGTCCCCCCCATCTCCCCTGGTTTCTGCAGCACACGTGACCCAGCAGCTGCCACTGTGCCGTGTCCATATGGGCTCTGTGCAGGATGGAGCACGAGCCCCGTGCCCTAAAACACTGGCACCCACCTACCTCCCTCATGTACAGTGGGTGACCACGTTTACCTCAACATGTTTTATCTGGGGCTGTTACCACGACGCGAACTGGGTGCCAAGGAAGCTGCAGGAGGCCTGTGTGGGCACAGACAAAGAACAGAGCAGCACCTCCATCATCTCTGCAACACAAACACGCCTTCATCAGCTTTTTCTCCTCGAGCCAAGGTTCTCCTACCAGACACCAGCACAATCTGCCACCAAAAACCACGAATACCATGGCAGAGGAGATTCCAGCGGTGGTGGGGAAGGACGTGGGAACAACAGGTAGGACGTCCCCTCCTCCTTCATTCTCTGAAGGATTTACACATTAGTGCCACCAAAGCAAGACACAACGTGACAGGTGAGCAGCAGCAGTGGCAGAACACAGGAGAGAGCTCATGGCCAGCAAATGTCACCTTCCCTTCCACGATCCCTGACATCAGCAGAGCCCCGACACACGATAGCCCAGCGCAGCCCTTATTTCCAGCTGAAGCACATCCCTTCCACTCCTCCATCCTGGAAATGCCTGCAGCATCTCACGCAGGGAACTGGGAGCAGAAACAGAACATTCCAGCTCCTTGCTTTCCAGCACAGCATTTATTTTGTTAAATAGAGTATGTGCTCTTGCGGCGCATTAATATTTCAGACACAGGATTGCCTTTCTGAGCACACACATCTTGATCCTTAAGGCACTAATGTGCCAATAGTAAACAATGTTTATTATTCCTTCAGACAAGCCATCGCTTCACGCCGTTTCCAGCCAAGGACAGCCCCACTGGAAGCAGATTAACCCCAGCACTGCTCCAGCCCACGCAGACGAGCAGTATTGGAGCAGTATTGATGGGGCTGTCGATATCCTGCTCCCGAGACAGGGTGAGGAATTCCACAGAGCACTCAGCTCCGGAGAGGAGCCAAAGGGCACGGCACTTTATTTGCTCTCCCCACTTTCCCCTGCATTTGAATTTTAACACTCCTTGCCTCTGCCCTCCCCTGCTGGAGCACTCAAAGCACCATTCCCTGGTCTGGGGGGGTGAGCTGGCACTGGCACAGCTCCTTCCCGGGCTGCTCTTCCTCCACACCCAGAGTCTTCCCTCATTTTAAATGGCAAAGCAAAGCACCATCTGAACACCTGAAGCAATAAAGATTACAATGGAGAGAAGCATTATAGCAGCCTGAGGAGCAAATGTGGTGATGAATGTGCAGCTCAGGGTGAAATCTGAGAGCAACTTTGCATATGAGGTAATTTTCCTGCAGGATTTTCAAGGGGAAACGTGAAAATAAATGGTAACATCTTCCTAATGGCTGTGAACACTTCTGTACAGAGATGAGGACTCGGAGCTAACTAAGAAACCTTAGCTCTATTTTTTTTTTTTAGCTTTTTAATTTACAGAGCAGCTCACCAGAGTGATACAACCCCTCTCAAAGACAGAGCTGGAAGGAAGTGTTAATTTACGGGCGATCCTGAGAGAATTCAGCAGCAAAGAGGCTCCGGGCTCCAGAGGGAGACGAGATGCAGAGATACAGCAAAGAAAAAACCCATCTCTGGGGCACAGACTTGCAGCAAGCACAGCACGTGGACAGTGGGGCACGAGAAGGTGTGAAACAACCCCCTGCACTGGTCACCACCTGCCTGGAGCTCGTGGCATCACCCTGCCCTCTTCTGTGATCCTCTACCCACCCAGTCACCCCGGTCCCTTTTGCCCCTCCCAAGGGGGAAACAGGAGCCAGGGCACCGAAGGGACACAGCAGCAGAGGTGGGAAGGGAGTTTTCTGACACTTCAAGGGATGAATTAAGGTACTCACTTGCTTTAACAATTAAAATATTCAAATGCACGCTCTCTGGGGCATCGACACCACCCAGGAAGATTTGTCTCACCTCTCACAGCTGCACAAAAGCTGCCCCAGCATCAACCCCCGGGACCCTCAGCGGGCACGGAGCTCGTTAAGGCCTTTCCTCACTCGGGAATGTCACCACAAGCCAATATCCCAAGGCAGCTCCTGGGCTCAGCTCTGTCCTGGGGTGACCCCTGGGCAGGAGGGCAGGGCCTGGCAGTGTCCCCGGGGTGGGGAGGAAAGCACAGCAGACGCATCAGACAGAGCCAGAAACGCGGCTGCACAAAGCACATGAAATAAGGGCAGGATTTGCTGTATGTCAACTTGGAAGCAAAAATATGCTGCACACACCCCGATCCTTTTGTCATTTTTCCACTACACTTGCCCTTGGAAATAATATCGCTTAATATTGCGTGACTGACATAAAATTATTTTTTAATCCTGGCAAAGTAGCGCAGAAGAAGAGAATTATTGGTTGGTGATTTGGAGAAGGAGACGAGACAGCGATTGGAATTGACTATTCCTGTTTGGCAAGATAAAAACATCCCCCTTTCATAGGCTGTTTCCCTCTATTTTCTTACAGAGAAATGTCTTATTTTGCATGCACAGAGAGCCAAGACTCCAGTCCCTGGCACAAGGCTGCAGAGCTCAACTGCGCTAGAGAGGCAGCGGATCAATCCCCTTTCTCTCCAGGCTCTGGCTCAGGAAGGGGAAGGGCAATGCTGACCAAAACAAACCCCAGCACCCCCAGCTGCATGGACACCGAGGGCCCCCAGTGCCCATGGACAGGCAGGGTGCCCACCCTGGGGGGCTCCCCAAAACAGATTGGCAGAAAAGAATCAGTTTTTAACCACAGAACACTTTTTAAAAGTAAGAAGGGGGAAAAAAAAAAAAACAACAAAAAAAAAGGCATGCAAACAGCGAGCAGCCACTTTGTCAATTAGGAAGAAACAGCGAATCTTACATTCCAGGCAGCAAGGGCAGGATGGAGCACCCACAGCCCCACCTCCCTGGAACACCCCCGGGCAGGTTTGCAACCTCTGGCTGTGCCTGTGGGTTCCAGGAGGTGTCAGGAGGACAAATGTCACACTCCAGGACAGGCACCTCAAAGGGACAAGTCTCTCCACGGCACAGCCCCGGGGCAGGGGCACCCCCAGCTCCTGGCCCACCCTAAGGGACCCTGAGCAGCCCCCTCAGCTCACTCCCTCCACCCCCTGCTCCGTGTTACACATCCCACGGGTGAGCTCTGGGAATGACATTATTGTGCCGAACGTCTGCTGGGATTTCACGGGGCACGACAAACGAGCACAACACCTCGCACTGAGATATACAACAGAAAACCGTGTTGCTTTCCACATCTCAAAAACGGCTGCTATGAATTAATGATTCAGCTCATCCCCACGGTGACAGGAACAGAGCAGAGGAGGTTGGCTGAGCACTCACCGGGAGCTGCTCCCGTTCCTGCAGCAACGCTCCTGCCTCCTGTGGGCAAAATTGGGCACCCACAGGGCCCAGGAGCAGGACCTGGAAGGTGCCCCTAAAACTTCAGCCCTCCACTTCCCCCCGGCTGCCAGGGATCTCTGCTGCACTCCCAGGGCAGCTGGAGGAGCAGTTACAGGAGAGCTCTTAAGGAAGTCACCAAAACAAGACGTGTAAAGTGCCTTACAAGGGGACGAGTGTTCTTGTTCCCATTGTTAATTAATGCAGCACAGCATCCCTGGAGCACGGACACTGAGCTGCTGGGACGGCTCCACTGGCCACACAAATGTCTCCACCGTGTATCCATTACAGAACACTCGAGTCAGAGCAAATGTCTGGGGAAACTTCATCTCCCAGGTCCCTGCTGGAACACTACAGACACTGAGTGCCCCAAAGCAGGGGCAAAACACAGCTCCCGTGAGTGCAGGGGTCCCTCATCCCCCAGCTCTTCACACACAGTCACAGCATTGTTTAGGTTGGAGACCACCAAGACCATCAAATCCAACCAAATTATTCCGTATAATCTAAATACCTATATTATCTCTATGTTATATATGACAAATACACGAAGTTTACTCTGTATAGACACTCTGTGTAAAGACAGATGATGCAGACATGCATCACTTCTCCTGGAGTCTTCCAGGAGAGGCTGGACCACCTCACACATCCCTCCTTGGCCTGACATCCCCAGGGGAGGACAGTCCCTGAGCAGTTCCTGCCATACAAGGGGTGATGGGCTGTGCTCTGACCCCTCCTGCACAGCCACACACGGTGACCCTACACCTCCTCTGCTTCTGAACCTGGAAAAGGCTGTTCTCTCACTGGGGGAACACTGAGAGCCCCTCACCGTGGCAGGATCTACACCAGATCTGCTGCAGACTTCCTCAGAAAATGTTCCCCACAGCACAGGGAGCAGGTGCTGACACAAGGAGAGGCAGTGGGTTTCCTTTCCTGAAGGATTTCCAGCAGCACATCCCTCAATAATTTCCTCCTTATTTAATAGGAACGTGTTTAAGTTTGTTTTGAGGACACGCAGTGCTGTTAATTGCTGCTCTAACGCATCTCTAATAATCCATCCTTTCTAATTGTTCATTGCTTGCCACCTCTTAAGTGCTTAAACACATTCACAAACACTAATCTATTCTCTGCACAATCAGTGATTCCTGCTCAGCAAAGCACAGTGCAGCAAATTTAATACAACCTGGGCTCGTTTTGCTGCACTCTTAATTGCTCTCCTCGCTACCGGTGCTTCCTCCAGCCCCGTTTCAATCGCAGCCTGACTTGGCAAATTCAGGCAGAGGGAAAAGCCAGACAGGCAGCAGACACGGCTGCAGTGACATCACTGGCAGGGTGAGACGCCACCAGCAGAAACAGTTCTTCGAATCCCGAGTTTTCCGGAGCGGAACTGCGGAAAACAAGTCCCAGCCAGGAAGGTCCTACCTCGTAATGGGCCACGCGCTGGGACTCGGAGATGAGCTGGGCACTGCACACCTTGCAGTAACTCTCAGTGAACAGCTCCTGCTCCACGTCGGAGGATTTCATCTGTGCACGGCAGAGAGGAGAGACAAGAAGCAGAGTCAGTGATGGAGGGAGGGCAGAGGAGCCTGACGAGGGTCCTGCAGGGGCAAAGGTGCCTGACGAGGGTCCTGCAGGGGCAAAGGTGCCTGACGAGGGTCCTGCAGGGCCAGGCAGCCCCTCAGCTGAGCAGTTCTCGTGACCACAAGGGAACAGAACCAACATCAAATGGAACCTCCCAGTGTCTCCCATCCAGAGTCCCCAGGTTTATCCACCACCAGCTCGTGCCAAGCGTTTGTTCCTCGCCCTGGGCAGCTCCCAGGCACTGCTGGAGACCTGTGGTGTGTCCCCTTCCCCACTGCAGTGGGGGCAGCCCAAGCAGCACCTGACCCCTGAACACCTTTGGCCACAGGCACAGCACACCTTCCCTGCCACAATATCCATGGGTGAGCTCCTCGGGAGTGGCTGTTCTTCCGTCACCTTTCCCAGCTGGAAACACCCCGTGCAGACCCAGCTGCAGCAGAGAGGGCTCAGGGCTCCAAACACACCCAACCATTTGTTGTACAACACCCACGAGCTTATGGGGTTTCACGGGAAAGGCAAAACAGCATCACAACCTGGGGAAAGGTGGGTTTAAGCTGGAACAGCACTCTGCTGTATTCCTCAATTTAGGCACCAAAGGAAACTGCTCAGGTGATTTACTGGGCTGGGCTGTTCTCCAGCAGCTGTTTAAATACTTGTGTGTTCCCCAGAACTTCCAACGAGGACACTTCACCTACAAGGAGGACACTTCACCTACAAAACCAGCTTGCTGAGCACCCTGGTTCACACGAACACGTTCCTCCTCTGTTCAAAGCCTCCTCCTCTGAACTCATATCAGGAACACTGAGGCTTAAAACAGCCTGAACCCAAACAGAGCCAGAAAATAACAGAAGCAGCTTCACAGAGAGAATATTTAAAACTAATCTCTGTGCAAATTAAGAGGGGAAAGAGAGGCTGATGCCTTCTGACTTAAGCCAGGATAAAGTCTATTAATTCACAATCATAACAAACCTGGGCATAATGAAGACTGATAATAGAGATTTTATAGAGTTTATTCCACTGATTAGGAAGAAAAACAGTATGGGAATGAACAGGCAATGAATGAGATCTCATCAGCAGACAAAGCCAGGTGGAGAAAGGCTGGTCAGTGCCAGGCTGGAGGTGGTTGTGCCCAATCCCCAGTGTCCTGCTGCCCCACAGTTATTGGGGTCCCTGCACATTTTATGAAAACCAGCAGCTGAGCTGAGATCAGAGGCTCCCAGCCTGGAGAGACCAGTCAGCCCCCAGCTCCAGGAAAAGGTTTGTTCAAGTGTTCTGCTTTCCCAGACAAAAGACACAAACCTCGGAGCTCCTCCACTGCTGCCCTTGCATTTTGATTCTGCAAAGACATTTGCTTGTTTTCTCTTGCTGTCTGCTGAGGTTTAATCTTCATTTACTCTGTCCAGAGAGATGCTGCACTGAGAAACTTTCAAAGACACCAAAAAGGCCCTTTTAGGAGTACAAGAAGTGTTGCAAAATTGCATCAAAGGCAAAACGCAGTAGGGGGAAGAAATCTCACTTAACTACAACAGATTGACACGAGGCAAACCAAAGAATCTCATTAAACCTCAATCCAGCAACAGAGCCAGAGTCAGGTAACACTGCCTTCATTTGCATGCAGCCTGCAATGCTCACGGCACAAACCCTCATGGCAAAAATCAGAGTAAATCAAAAGCTTCTGTGTATTAGTCCAGCTCTCTGTGCTCTGATAACAGAGCCCAGGTCTCTCCTGCCTCCCCAAATGGAATCGTCTGTCCCCCTTTACAGCAGCAGAGGCTGAACAGGCTGGTCCAGGAACAGGAGCTCAGGTGTTTCTCTGAGCAGTAACTTCTGATACAGGGGTGGGACGTGTTCCCAGGCCTTGCTTTTCCACGGGGATGAAAAGGACACGAGGCAGAGGAGAGAGGAATGGGGATTAGGGGCAACGGGAGAACAAACGGAAGAAAAGCCTCCTTCATGCTTTTGCATGAATATATTAGGCTAAACTGCTGCAAGGATTCAAGCAGATGTAAGCTTGGCTATTAAAAATAATTAGAAAGCTCTGGTAACAATAACTGCTCTGGGCAAAATTAAATTTTGACAGAAAATAACAGATTCACCTTAGCAAGGTAGATTTGCACACAAGCAATCCACTACCAGCACCCATTTACACAAATCACCCTTGCAAAGCTGCCACTGAAACCAAGACAGCCCCGGGACAAGTTTAAATTCAAGTACCAGGCTTGAGAAAACAGACTGCTACCTGTCCCTCAGAAATGCAAGCAAAGAGCAAAAGTCTCTTCCCCTCCTCAGCAGCTGCCAAAGGATGTCCAGGAAACAAGGAGTGAAATGAATGAGGTTTTAAAGCTGCCCCAGTGCCTGGGGTGGCACTGGCTGCTCTCACACCCAGACCACAGGGAGGTCCAGGGGGGATATTTCCCTTGGGGTCTGCACAGGGACCCTGCTACATGCAAGAACCAAATGTCTGGTTCCTGCAAAGGGACTGGTACAGGGAGGTTGCCATAGGTGGCCCCAGCTGATGGCATCTGTGCTCAGCTGCAAAGGCTCCCCCCTGCAGCAAGAGGTGGACTCCAGACAGGAAACCCTGGCAAAAAGAAAACTGTAAAACAGCTTTGTGCTGTTGGGGTCTGGCCTAAAACGGTGCTTCCTCCTCTCCAGAAAAGCTCCTCTTCCCCGCTCCTGTCTCCTCTCAGATCCACTCTGCACTGCCCTTCTGTGGGCTAACCCCAGCAGTGATTTATTAACTTCTTCTGCCTGCAAGTGTCATAAAGGGAGTTCATAAGCAATTAATATTTATGTATTTCTAATCACTTCGTTCCACTGTGACTCTCCCTGCCCACACGTGCCCGACTGACTGCCCCAGGAGTGCCCAGCCCTCAGAGACCTCCCCACACAGCCTGGCTGCCCAAGAGGAGGGTTTTTCCTGCCCTCAGTGACCTCCCCACACAGCCTGGCTGCCCAAGAGGAGGGTTTTCCCTGCCAACAGCCCTCGGCTGTGAGGGACACTGGAGGGGAGCTGCAGGTGCTGAGCAGGGTGGGATGTGTCCCTCAACACTCCCAGTCAGAGGATTTTCATGCTGGGAGTTGAAGGAATAACGTGAGACTTGCAGCCCTGTCCCCTGGACTCCACCAAGGGCTCTGTCTGCACACCCGGGTGTAAATAAATACCTGACACTCCTGGTGTCCTCCTCCTCCTCGGGTGGGGACCTGCTGGGGCCTCCACCACAAGCACTGACCACTTTGCCTCCTTCAGGGGGTTTATTGTGGCCTCCTGTGCCACACCCCAGTGCCGAGTCCCCTCCCTGCTCCAGATCCGTGACCTCTGCACGTGTCAGCTCAGCATCCCCAGACACCCCCCCTGCAGCACCTCGTGCCATATGGCTGAGATCCTCCTCAGCAGCTCCAGTGGCTGCCACAGCTCAGTGAAAATCAATCTGACGGGGCTGACTCCGGCTTTTGGCAGCGGCCAGGGAGATGCCAACTAAGGTGCACTGAATTTTGGAGGACAGCAACCCACAGCTGACATCGGAGACACGTGCAAAGCCAAACTCCTTTCTAAGGAAATCTGAATCCCACCAGACAGGGGCATGTGCTGAATGTGTCCCCATCACAGGGTGGTGGAAGTGCCCCTCTAGGAACTGCTTTTGGGATCCAGACCCAGCAGAACAGGACCTCAGCCCAGGTGCCGACTGCTGTGGCCCTTTGCTGCTCCACGGCAGCACCACGAGCTGCTGGTGCCGTCAGCCAACACTTCCCCTCGTGTTTCTGATAAATGCTGCTGTAATCTCCTTTCCAGCAATCTTCCCTCAGCAGGACGCTTCTGTCGGTGCTGCTGCACACCCCATTCTCGAGTTCACTGCCCCCTTTTCTGAGCAACGAGCTCAGTGAATAGGGAAAGAAGTTTTTTAATAATGGGAAATCCATGACTGGCAGCAACAGCTCCAGAGCACGTGGCAAACACGAATCAGATAGAGGGTTTTTAATTCCCAGTTTCACCTTTTGTATCACTTCACAGATCAGCCTTGGTGGCATTCACTGTCAATTATTTCTGTATTTCAACAATAAACCACTGTCTCAACTCCACAGCACGTGCCTCAGGGACGTGGATAGAAGGAATCAGCAGACATCCCAGGAATTGCTGACTTGGCTGCTGCAGCCACAGAGACACACACACACACAGCCTCACCCTGTGCCAGGGCTGCCCTGGGCAGGGCTCACAGAACCACGGAACAGTTGGAGCTCCTTGCCAGGAATCTGGTCCCTGAGGTGCTCAGTCCATCACCTGTTGGTTGTGGAGCACCAGGAATTCCTGCACAGGTTCTTTTTTCCCATTGCCCAATCAAGGACAAGGAGTGCCACAGGACAAAGCACTGGATTCAGCAACTTGGCTTCTTCCAGTCAAGAGGAAAGAAAAAAATTGTGGTCCCTCATCCAATTTGCTCTTGAAGGCCTGTAATCACCTTTTCCACAACCAACAGCTTCCGAAACCTCTGTGCTGGAGCACAAGAGAAGTGGCAACTGAGCATGTGCACGAATGCCAAATGCTAACAAGAAGCCAAAAATTAAATGTCCTGACTTTCATCTTATGAATTATTTGTGGCTTTTGCTGCTGTCACTCTCCCGTGGATTAACATCTCGTGTAACACCTCCTGTTTTCTTCTGTTGTTTAATTTGTCTTGCAATAAAAAGAAAAAAAAAGTCTTTACTAATAATTAATGTGCTTTCAGCAACTCTGTCACTGCGCTCACACTGAGGCATCTGAAGAAATGCAAAACTGCCTTTTGAAGTGCCTGATTTCCTGGCACTGTCAGAGCCTGTTCCATGAGCAGGATTCTCCGATTCTCCTCCTGCTTTTATCACCTTGGGACGGAGCCCTTTTATCACCTTGTGGCTGGAGGCCACAGCAGCCTCCCAGCACCAGGGAAAGGGCCGGGATGGGACAGCCC